GGAAGGGAGGGGGAGGGGGGAAAAGGAAAATGAGCTGATTCCGGGAACCCAAGAGGAGAGCGAATTTTGGGAATGATGAGGACAACAAATGTATAGGTGTGCTTTACACAATTGATCTATGTATTGTGATGAATTGTATGAGCCCAGATAAAATGATTAAATTAAAAAAAAATTCATCTCCAGACGTGTGTAGTAATACTATGCTTTAATGTGGACTCATCACTCTTTGTCGATGGGACAACCTTTTGGTCACAGACACTGCCTCTAAGTTGCCTTTGGTCATTATGTATTATTCACAGCTTCACTTTCTTGCTTCACTTATGGATGAACTTCATCTATGGGTATTAAAAGCACAAAAATCTCCATTTCTATTCGACTTTCAAAATGGTCTTGACCACAGCAGTTATGAGCCTAGAACCTAAGGAAATGAGAGACTGTTCTGGGTTTGACTTGTCCTCTGGGTTAGGTTACCCAGATACCCTGTACTTTGGAGAAATTCAGAAATCTACACAAGTAAGGGGCATTGAAATAGGTCAATGAAATGGGTTGTAGGCATCGAGTGAACAGACAACCCTGGGCTCAAACACAAAACCATCCAGATGATGGGCCCGCAGCAGGCAACCGTTCATGCCATTTCAGTGTCAGTCGGTCAGAGTCCATTTGATGGCAACTAACTGACAAAAAGTGAACAGATGGGAAGATAAAAGGAAGTATAATTTTTGCAAGTTAAATAGCTCATCATGGAAGCCCCAATTCATGGTACACTCAAATGCAGTTCCCTTGCATGCATTTATATGCTTGTCTACTTGTTCATGGGGGATGCAAGATGGTTATCTATTGTTTAATTACTACTTGTCCTTTTATACATGTAGAAAGGTCAGATTGGGGAGAGTGTGGGTAACTGGTCCCATTCACGCAGCTAGTAAGTGACCGAGGTATAGCTGGCTCACATTTTTATAGTATTTCATAGCAATGCCAGCTGAAACCATTGACTTATCAGTAAACCATTTGGAAACACCATTGGCTACCATCTTTTAAAATATTTTTTAAACATTATTTTAACTTACAGCTTATGGTTATTCCCAGTTCCACATTGTGCTTCTTCGGTAGCTTGACGTGAAATGTTCCACTACTTGGGATGACAGACTCTGGAATTTCAAAACAACAGAGAGTATGTTTACAGAAGACCAAAGAGAATGTAGCACCAATTCGTTGAAGTGCATCAGGAATGCTTGCTTCATAATCCTTGGTTGATGGAAACTGAGGAACTGAAGTACAGAGCATTTCTGAAAAACCCTGATCAATGAAGTTTACGGTGATGAAGGGCTAGGCCACTAAGCCTAACTCATAGCAATCGCAGAGTTCAGTACGTCTCCAGGGTGAGTTGAGCACCTTCTGCATTTTCAGTGCCTCAGATGAAGGTTAAATGGAAACAAAAAGCTTCCAGGAACATCTCATAGTAAAGTATGGAACTAGAATTTCTTTTTGTTATTGTTGTTTGTTTTCACTTAATTTGTACTTATAGTTAAAACCGTCCCAGTGGCACATAATCCACATATGATACAACTCAATAGTTCAATCACTTCCACGAGAGTTGTACAGCTATCGCCAAGTTGATTTTAGAACATTTTCTTCTTTCCTGTACTCAGTGCTATCAGCTCCCCATTTCCCTGCAGCCTCCCCCACCATGCCCCCATGAAACACTGAGGCAGTTACGGTCTCCTTATATTTACCTGTCGTGGATTTCATATACAGAAAATCATAAACCAGGGAAAAAGAATCACAATAACAAAATAAAACAGAAAATCAATCGAAGAGAAAGTAGAAAAGATTAAAAACCAGAACAGCTTTAAAATGGGTCAACAGTAAGATCACATGAGAAGGTGTTGAGTTTTAACCTAACATGCATGTGCACGCAGCGACCACGCTGCGCTTTCCACGCACGCTGCATGGTCACTTTGTCTCTGAGGACAGGGCCAGGGAGTCTGCATTTGGAACATGTTCTCCAGGTGATTCCTGGGCATAGTAAAGCTTCAGGGGCACAGGTATGGTTATTCTTTTACTTCTCTAATTTTATGTATTTTTTCATAATTTACTACTGAGCACATGTTTTTTTCCCCCCCAACAGATTTTTTAAAGGTATCTGGGGAGAGGAGATTTCAAGAGAGAGCTGGGTTGTTTGATGATTATTGATTTTAGCGTGTGTGTGTGGCGGGGTGGGACAGGGGTGTGTTGGCAATGCACACAATGAAAAGCCCACTTAAAGAGGTAGAAGGAGGGTGATAGTAAAACTATTTGGCAATCAGAATGGTGCTGACCATCACCAATTGGACAGACCATGGTGCTAAAAAACAGGGGCTCAAGAGGCACCAACTGGGCCAAAAAGGGCCTGGAGTATCTGCAACGTGGGGGCTACGGAGTCTCCAAGGAGAAGCAGGGGCAAAGGCCATGGAAGGTGACGAAGGTGTGTTCAGATCGTGGCCAGTCAGTATAACACGAAAGGAGAGCCAGCGTGCACTGGCTGGATCTCCATCATGGACAGAACTGAGCTGATTTGATCAGAGTTTGCCTGATATTCGATAGAGAGGGATGGCCTTGGAGGTGAGCTGATGCCACCTCATGATGGCCCATGTGTGTCGGGGTCAAACTGTGCCCCACGGGGTTTCGAGGGCTGGTTTTTCCGAAGTCAATCAGCAGCCTTGCTGCTGAGGTACATCTGGGTGGGTTGAAACTTCTGACCTTCCCATTAACAGTTAAGTTCCCAAACATAGGTTCCAAAACTTATTTGGCTTATCACATCCTTTTCAGAAAACAAAAAAATTACTCAGGGCCCCTCTGACAATGAAAACCTTTAAAAAATATAGCTAATATCACAGTATTAAATGTAAGGTATCTGCTTTGAAGCCCCCCTGGATCAGTGCGGTGCCTCACCCACTTTGGGAAACACTGGTCTACTGCGTTAACCATTTACATTACCCAATTATTCCAATAATGTGTTATACATTTTAAAATGTACTCTTCAAATTGTTTTAGGGACCCGGGAGTCCTTTCGGGAGGAAGAAGGGTAGAATGGAAGCACCCTCTGGTCAGTTCCCACCTAGTCACACTGCTATGCATGCCTCCTCCTTTCCCGGAGGTTTTAGAAAGAGGGAGAAGGGACTCAGCCAAAGGCAAAGATGAAAGGATGATGGCCAAAATAAAACCTACTGCCTCGTCTGGCTCAAGGCCAGCCCCCACCCTGTGAGGTGACGACTGGGGCGTGCACAGACTCCTGGGCTCTAGGACCTCAAGCCCAATTTGTTAACACAACTACAGTCCACGCAAAGCAGGGCTGGCACCTGGGACGGCTTCTCTGAAGTGGAGAGGGTTGGAGTTCTTCCTCGCTTTTTGCCCTTTCTCATGAGGCCTTTAGGCAGGGCAACTTTTATAAGATCTGATCTTTCAACTCAGAAGGGCTGGGTGGAATATTAAATCAGAGAGTGCAATAAGAATTGTCTTTCCCTGGGCCCCCTAGGCGTCTAGAAAGCAAACCCACAAAACCCCCCAAATGAAACAAGCACCAACCCACTGCCATTGATTTGATTCTGATTTATAACAATCTTACATCGAGTTTCCAAGACTATAAATCTTTCCAGGAGCAGACAGCCTCCACTCTCTCCTGAGGAGCTCCTGGTGGGTTTGAACTGTCAACCTTGTGGTTAGCAGCCCAACATCTAACTCACAGCACCTCCTGGGCTCCCTGAATTTCCAGAAATCCTTCTGTCAAAGAAAAGCGTGAAACTGCCCTTCTGAGTCGCAGCTGGTGCTGCTGGGTGGAGGATGCCTTTCTTCTTTGGTCTTTGCCTTTCACTCTGTTTTTTCCTTCACCCCATCTCCCCCTTCGTCCCTCTCTTCTTAGCACTCCTGACCTGGCAATGTCAATAGGTGAGAGCCATGGACTTGAGTTAATACCTTTCCTTTCTCTGCATCCTTAACTAATACTGATCAGCCAGCAAGCGAACCCACATGTATTTGCTATTTATTCATTAAAAGTTTGTACTCTGTATACTGATATTCATTGCTGTGCTTTTCACAATAGCCCAAAGGGGGAAACAACCAAAATATTCAGTGACAGATGAATAGATAAGCAAATCGGGGCATATTCACACACGGGACTATCACTCAGCCTTAAAGAGGAAAGAGGTTCTGAGGTGCACCACACCAGGGACGAACCATAGAAGCATTATGCTGCGTGAAGCCAGTCAGCCACAAACGGCCAACACCATGCACTCTCATGTTACAAGCACATGTACAGAAACTAAGATTCTGGGTGGCTACCACGAGTGATAGAGGCAGGGTGGTGGTGGTGGGGGGTGGGATGAGGGTACATTTGCTTAGGAGCCATCGTGCTTGTAAATGGTGGTGGAACATTTTTTTAAAAAGGAAAACAACACAGGTTTCGCAGCAGGAGAAACGTAATCTATGTCCCTGGATGGTACACGTGGAGGGAAAGGTTCTGTGTGTTTGTGTGTGCCACAGTAAAACAAAACCCTAATTCCAAGCTGTGTTCTCCCCCTCCCCCCGCAGATTTGAAACCGAGGTGTGTTTTACTTCCTGACTTCAGATGGTGCAAGTGTTATAAAGATTTACTTCCCAAATATTTTATGACTCTGTGTCTTTCCTCACTCCTCCCCACTTGCAAGTGCCCAGCACGCAGTCCCTGGGCTGAGAGAGCATTGGGCCAGGGTTGTGTTTTGCTCCATTTGCCAGGCTGCAGGAGGAGGAAAAGAATGAGTGCCCATGAAGGCCTTGCAGAGAGCCTGGTCTTACATTTGCCAGCCTTCGATGCCAGCTTCCAGCCCACCCGACGTTTGCCCATGCTTCTGTCCTTAGTGGCTGCGGCACACTTTGTATGCTTCTGAGACATGCTTCTTCTCGGCCTCAATGAACTGGAGTGTATTTCTGTAGTTTGCAGCGGAAAGATCTCTAATAAACACATTGATGTTTGAGAGGAGCTAAGCAGATTTGACCACCCCTATTCCCACCCATCCCCACACACAAGTCTTAAGAGTTTGGCATGGATAAATTATTTTATTGCTTGGATAGATGGGCCTTACATAAATGAGCAAGAAGATTCTGAAGAAAAAAGACTTCACTATTTATGGAATTTGTTATGTATGCTGGACAGTTTTGGTACTTTCTGATTTAAGAAGTTCTCTGTATATGGGGAGGGTAGCACAGTGCATATACCACATATACTCGAGTATGAGCCGACCCAAATACCAGCCGAAGCACCTAATTTTACCACAACAACTGCATTAACAATGTGCTGAAAAACTCAGCTTATACATGAGTATATACGGTACGTATGTTTGGGAGTTCCTGGGTGGTACCAACAGTTAAGTGATCTAGTGTTAACCACAAGGTTGGTGGCTCCAACCCACCCAGAGATGCCTTGAAAGACAGGCGTGGCCATATCTCGGCCTGCTCCTGAAAGGTCAGATTCTGGAAACCCTTTTGGAGCAGTTCTCTGCTGTGCACACGGGGTTGCCACGCGTCAGGGTCCTCTCAGAGGCACCGACAACAGCCTTCGCCATGATCTGTGATATAAACCCTCACCCAGACTGCTGTGCGCACACAGTAGTAAGGTCTTTGAGTCATAAGGGCTGGAAAACGCGGAAGGAGAGTTGGTACTATGGCAACAACTTGCTTTTACACATTTTTAAGGTAGGAAACCCTGACCAAGATTAACATTGTTAATGACACTTGAGGTGATAGTATCACTTCCTGGAAAAGAGTAATGGATCACTTTTGACTACATACGATTTGAAATATTCATAATGATGAGCAAATATCAGCAAATGAATCTCTTTGATCCGGCTGCAGCTTCATTTTAATCTTTAAATGTCAACATGATTTATTTTATATTTGAGGTGTGTGTGTGTATTTTCTCATGTAGCTATTTGGTTGCTAAACCAAAGGTCCATTTATGTTAAGGTTTCTTAAAGAAATATGAGTACTAGGAAAGAGGAGAAAAATCCAGTATTTGGGAACAGGTAGGCTTAGCTTAAGTAAATAGAATCTGAGAACAAAAATGTTTATTTTGTTCTAGCCCCATGTGATTATTTTGTGCTTCCCTGGGTTTTCTTGATCTTTGTTAATACTATAATTAAAAGTACACTTGGGTAAGCCAAGGCTCTCTTCTTTCCAATTGGTTGCTTTGTTGCCCGATTCACTTGTTGTTGGCTCAGTAAGATAACTCCAAATCCTACTTTATCAACCTGAGTGCATTTTGAGTTTTGAAAACAAAACAAAACAAAACAAAAAACTAACTAAGGGATGCTAAGGGATAAATGCAAATGTTTAACCTTCATCTACTCACCAAAAGGCACTCTGATTGGCTAGTCATGCTGGCAAACATCTAGTTGCTAGGATTTTCACAGGAACAAAGTGGCATTTTCCCCCACCAACGTAATTTCAGATATTCATGGTCTTAATTGTAGACTGGTCGTCAAAAGACAAGGAGCTCTGGTGGAACAGTGAGTTACTTGTTGGGCTGCTAACTGCAAGGCCAACAGTTCAAACCCATGAGCCACCCTGAGGGAGAAGGATGAGGTGGTCAGCTGCTGGAGACATCTACTAAGCGGGCAGCTCTACTCTGTCCTTTAGGCTTGCCAGGGGTTGGGTTGACTTGAGGCAGAGGGTTTGGTTACTGAACAAGGCAAATGCATAGTGTGCCTGTGCTATGATTAGGGTTGTTACTATGATGAGGTGGCCCCCACTCATGGAGAAACCAGGCAGGCACTTGGGACATCATTTAAAATATAACACAGAGAGCTTATCTCTGAACTCAAGGGTTTGAAGATTTATATCCAGGCATAACATATTTGTGAGGACGAGAGGGATATAACAGGGAAGTCTTAGAACAGGCTCACATCCTGAGATTCCCTCCCAATGTCCCCAGATCTCGATCGGCTAAAAACAGAGTTTTCTGACGCCAACAGATTCCAAAGTTTGGAATGACTAATGAGCGTGCATACGGAGGAATCTGACGCTGCGTTTCGGCTCCTGAGGAAGGTGCAGGAGATCCTGCAGATGAACTTGTGGTGTTGGCTGTGAGCTAAGACCATCGATGGACAGAATGGGAAATGATTTTTCGGTTCCTCTTCTAGGCACTCTCTACACATTTGAAGTGGGTTGGTGATTTTTTTAAAAAATCAAGGACCGAGGGCTCAAAATTTCCTGGCCCATACACGTAAGCTGGGCACAGAACAGAGTGGGTGCAATCGACATAGTTCTTTGTCTTAGGTTGCTCGAACTAAAGAATTTAAAGCACTTAATCAACACATATTGAAATACTTGCATAAATTAAGAATGTCTTAAACAGATAGTTAACAAATGATGAGGAGAAATGCAAAATGAAATGCATTTATACCACAAAGATCCATAGATGGTCTTGAGGAAGCAGGTCATCTTGTGCTGGCTGCGGCCCCGGTGGAATGTAGTCGGTCAAGACAACCAAAACACCAAACTCACTGCCATCAAGGTGATGCCAATTGACGGTGACTTTATAGGTCAGTGTAGTAGTGCACGGTGAGTTTCCCAGACTGTACGTCTTTAAGGAAATAGAAAGCCTCGTTTTTCTCCATGGGAGATGCTGGTGGTTTTAAGTGGCTGACCTGGCAGTTAGCAGTCCAACTCGTAACCTAGGGCTCCAAGACAGTGGGTAGATGCTGCTCAAGATGCTGCCACGCACCGGGCAGCCGCCTCTCACCACAGAGGGAGGACGTGTGGTGTGGAGGCCGAGAGATCTTGTTCTCCTTGCTGCGTGCTGGCTAAATCTAACGCCTCTTTGCAGAGAGGCAGTAATGCAACAGGGTGGGGAAAAAAGATGTAAGTCAGCAGGCCTGGGATCTGCTGTTCACCTGGCTGTCTGATCTTGAGTTTCCCCAGCCGCACCTCGGTTTCTCCATGCATAACGAGATGAAGGGCCTGGAATCTGATGTTGTGTGATTGCCATGAGCACATTTCCAGATAAGTGACGCAGCCTTCTTCCTTAAACAGCCTTTCAGGGACCTCCTCCCTGATTCCTACTTGGTCGTAGGTAACTGGGAGGGGCGGGGGGATGACACTGAATGCAAGCAGGGCCAATCATGTGCTTTCTCTTGGGAGTTAGGGATTAGCGCTGGTTGGGCCTGGGTGGTACTTTAACAAGGAATGGGAGACTCATGTACAAAAGTCAGACAAGACTTGTCTACAGAGACAAATGGAGGTCATGTATGGAACAAACCAGCACCGAGAGGGACAGAAACAGTAGGCATGATTTCTGTTCTTGATCCTGATCTCGGTCCCTCCGGAGAGCCAAAAGCACTTCACTCATCCATCCATCCCTTCATCCAATCTTGCCTTCACTGCCTGTATTTCATGTACCATTTGGGGCACGAGGGATACATTTGTGAAAAATGTAAAAAAAAGGATGATCCCTGTCATCCTAGATGTTCCACCAGACAAAAGACAATAAACCAAGAAATACAAAAACACAACATCAGGGCACAGGAAGTGCTATGAAGAAACATTAACCTAGGCAAGGGGAAACAGAGGAATGGGCAATTGGGGAAGGCTTCTTGGAGCAGGCGACACAGCAAGCGAGCAAGCCAGCGAGCCCAAGGCCTCTTCAGAGAAGAGCCCGCTTCATCTGTCGGCAGGAAGGTACTCAGCGTGTCAAGGGCAGCTGGTTTGGAGTCTTTTTCCCTCACTGGAAGTCTGGCCAGCCTTGTGAGGGATTTCACTGTGGGGAGGGAACCTCCGCTACATCAACCGTGCAATTCCCAGAGCTTGCCTGGTGGGACGATAGTCACCTGCCTCCCACTGAGAGGGACCTTTCTAAATCTTTCTGAAACCTTCATCTGAGTTTCTCACTCCTCTGCATCAAATGGTTTCATTACACTTAGCACATAATCTATACTGAGACGGCGCGCGCGACAAGGCTTTGGCCCATACCAATCACCCCAGAGTACCCATTTCCAAACCCAAAGTCTATCCTGCCTCCAAACCCGCCTTTGACCCCATGATACATTTCAGCAGCCGCCGCCGCAGCAGCCTCTTCTTGCTGTTTCTAAAATACATCAAACTTATCATTCTGGCCCTCATGCTCTATGCTGTCTGCTCCGTCTGCCAAGAGAATGCATTCCTCCCAGATCCCGGCGCGGCTGGCTCCTCTGTAACCTTCACTGCCTGCTCAGAGGTCATGACCTGGAGAATCCTCCCACCAAAAGAGCTCTCCCGCAGTTATTGCCCACTCCCATGGGCTGCTCTTCCTTTGATAAGACTCCTATCAGTATCCAAATGGAGGTTTTCACAAATGACACTACCTTCCTGTGCGGCCACAATCCATGCTTTATGAGGACAAGGCTTTTTGTACCTGTTCACTGTTTCTAGAAGAATAACGGGCACGCGCTGTGTGCTGAAGAGTCAATTTTGACTCCCGTTGGCCCTACAGGAGGGAATAGAACTATCCACGTCAGGTTTCCCAGGCTGCTCTTTAGGGAACAGACTGTAAGGTCTTTTCTCTCGCGGAGTCTCCGGGTGAGGTCAGATAGTGGGCCTTTGGCTTAGCAGCCAAGAACTTTACTGCTGTGCCAGTACGGCTGCTAGCTGGCATAGCCATGTGCACATTTGGTTGGATGACATCATGTGCCCAGAGCACATAGTACTGAATGGTAAGGGTTGTCATTTGGTCTATGGTCTGGTATTTCACTGTGTAAGGACGATGTTCTTCAAGGGCAACCAGCTCCACTTGTTACAAACCAAATGTTTTCCTATTGGGGTCGAATGTATCCTCTGAATGAATGAATTCTCCCTACTCCTCGCAGAATTGGACCATGCTCTCCGCAGAATAGGGATCGTGGGAAGGGCCAAGAGAAGCTGTTCTAGCCTCTGTGACAGAAGAATATTCTTTCTCTAGCCGATGGGGAGAGTCAGAAAGACTAAGGGTGACATGAAGCTGTTGTTTAATAACCGCTATCATGGTGGCTATTACATATTCAATTTGTCACAATTATTTTCAGTGATGCTTTGATGAGTGATACAAAAAGAACGTTCCATGTGAAATGACATCCCCAGACCCCCTAAACAAAGCCACATTTCATTATTTGAAAAATGCTTCCCCCACTTTACTTAATCAATTCAATTTCCATGCTCCCAACTCTGCCTCTGAGCTGAGACTACATGAGCCTACCTGCGACATCAAATTCAATTTCCAGCGTGACCTTGTTAGTGATGGAAGAGTCCCGGAGGAGCTGGTTGGCTTCCTCGAAGGTGCTGTCTTCAGTCTGAATCCCATTAATGACCATCACCCGGTCTCCAATCTGGAGCACCCCGCACCTACATTTAGAACCACATGTTAAAAGGTTGTAGGCAGAGCTAAAAAGTATGTACTAGCCAAACTCTCCAATCTACTTACAGGAATCTTGCACAAAAGCATCACAATTTTTCCTTCTATAGTCAATGCTGTAGGCTTCATAGGAGCCCTGGTGGCATAACTGCAAGGTCAGCAGTTTGAAACCACCAGCTGCCCCAACAAAGCGAAAACATACTGCCTCAGAAATTCAAAGGGGCACTTCTACCCTGTCCTGCAGGGTCGCTATGAGTCAGTATTGATGCAATGACAGTGAGGGGGCATCATGTAGTGGCTGTTAGATGTGTTTAGTAAATTCCAATTCATGGAAATCCCCTGTATGCAGAATCATACTGCTGCTTAGGGTTCAAGGTTCCCCTCTTTCAGAAGCAGTAGCCCAGGTTTGGGTCCCAAGTCGTCTCTGAGTGGATTCAAACTGCCAAACATTTGGCTAGTGAATTACAGATGAGCTCTTTGCACCACCCAGGGATCGTATTTGGTCACACTGCAGCCTGCAGTATCTTGTACACTGTATTTCGTGGCTACTTACGGGAACAAGAGAAACTTGAAGCTTCCTAGAGAAGCTATGAATCATTCAGCACTATGGCATTTGTTCCAATCTGATCTCAACCGATGTAGAGTAACGATGAGTGTACAGTCCCCCCATGGCAGAGAAATTATTAAAGTTTGAACTTCAGAGATTTTTTTTCTTAAGTGAGGTTTTCTCCTTTTTAATTAATATAGCCTCTGGTCCCCTGATGGACAAAATCTACAGAGAGGCATCCCTGATCGTTATTCTTCTAAAACTTGACCAAGAACATAAAATTTTATTGCCAGAACAGGGGGCTCATCCTATTTCGCATTCCCTACATCAAGCATTATTCCATAATTTATCAGCCACTCAGAGCGCGGCACCAGAAACACAAGGCAGAGAGAGATGCTGTGGGGGAATGGGTCTCACCTCTCCGCTGGGCTGTCAGCTTCAATGTAGGAAATCAGGGGTGGGGAGGAGAGGGTCTCCGTGGCAAACACGCTGCCCTGCAGCTGTATCCCGAATCCTGTGACGGGATCTGCCGTCAGCACCACCTCCGTGGTTTCTGTGTGAACAACCTGCCCAGCCAAGCCAACCGTACTAGAGGCTAACGACACTAGAGGAGAAACAGGAGAAAGAAAGACCTCAGGTTAGAACAAGCATGAGGAAAACCGGAATTTCCAAAACAGTTCCTGTCTCTGGGGTGGGGGTGGGGGGGGAAGCTATTGACAAGTGTAGCCTTCTCGGGAAAGCTGAGCTAGAGGGGCACGAGAAACCTATCTCCCAGTATTTGCTACATTGCCATCATTAACTCCAATGTTGTCTCCTACCTGTTTCCCCAAACTAAGGATACTGTGGGGCTGTGGGAAGAGAGAAGTCTTGGGGTTAGTGTCTCTTGATTCTAGTCCCCGCTCTGCCACTCCGCATCCAGTTAGGCGACCTTGAGCTAAGTCGTTTAATCTCCTCGTGTTTACTAAAAAGGGGGAAAAGGAGCTGGGCTAGGTGGACGTCTGCTCTCGTCTTGTTTTGTTCCCCATGTTTTAGCCTTCGGCATCTGAGCTCCAACAATCTCACCTTGGGTTCCTGGAATGGCCTGGCTGTGTTGGCCCCCGACCTCACTCTTGGGTTGGTTTGGGTTGATAAAGTTGCAACATAGTTTTCCCTTCCATTTCTCCTGCCCTCCCCAAATTTGGTCTCTTCAGCTCTTGTCCTTTATCACTGCGTCCAGCGACCCTGTCCATTCCTACTTCATCCCTCTGACACTTATGTAAGCCCCCAGTCAACACCTTCTGTAATCTGCCTTGCACCAAGCCCCAAACGAGGTTAGGCAAGAGCTGGTCCACTCCTGAATAGCTGTGGCCATCTTCTCTGTCTGTTAGGAGTTCATCCTAGAGTACAGGTCGGCAAACTTTTGAAGTAGAAGAGCCAATCCTGTCTCTCACAATTTAAACAGTATTTGAAAGTCATATATATTTAAAAATAAGTGAAATCACCATTATCTGAATAATATTTTTAATTTCCATGTTCCTTCAGCACCACATGGACGTATTAAAAGCCGCATTATAGCTCTTGAACTACAATCTGCCGGTCCCTGTTTTAGAGCAAACTCTGTCTGTAGGGTCTGATGCTGGACACTTACCACTTAGGGGAAAAAAAAAGTTTTCAGCGTCCCCTTACTTTAATAGAAACCCTTTTACCACCAAGCTGCCTCTAATCAGAAGCTATTTCCTTCTACTCCAGCCCTGAATGGGATCAAGAGAGAGAAGGGTTCATGATCCTCCTTGTACTCTTCATGTAGTATGTTCCCGCAAACTTCCTTAAAAATGGGATCCTCTCTTCTTCATGCCATCCTGAACCCCACCCCGCCCCCACCCCCACTTTGCTCACTGACTTCAGGACTTGGCTCTTAGTCTATTTACCCTAAGTTATAACAGCCCATGTCCTCGTCATCTACCCTTCCCAGTCCTCACCCAGCGAATTCTTTCTCCTTATTATGACTTCTGGTTCCACGCCTTCTCACTAGCTTCCTAGACTAATGCCATGACGACAATATTTTAGCGACCAATGTTCCCCCTTCAAGTAAAAGTATGTACGGGATCTTCACGTCCGAGTTACAAACACCCCTGCCGTTGAAGGAGGAATGGGACAATTACCGGCTCTCTCATGGTCTCCCTACTGTTCATTCCTGGTCCATGTAACTGCCTGGTGACCTGCCCTTCATGATGACCTCCTCACCACTGGGACAGACTACTAGAGAGACTTCAAACCAACAATTCTCAAGTCTCAAGCTAATGCTGTTATCAGGGAGGCCTAAGATGAACTGTTATCCCTCAAAGGGAATCCTCCGGTGGTTCCCTATTTCCACAATGTGCAATTCTAGCAACGCCCACAGGTCCTTTATATGTTACTTTCTCCCGCCCACAGTCTCCGGTCTCCACTCCCTCATCACAGGCCATGAGCTCCAATGCTGCTCTCCTATCCTTGAGCGTTCATATAAGGCCCCTGAAAGCATCAATATCCGCTAACATCACACACCTTGCCAAAGAGAAACAGTCCTAGCCATCACATTAGGGGTGAGTTAATTGAATATTTGATCAAATATAGTTGGCTACTTTTTAAGTGGATCATTTGTATGCCCCATGAACGGTGTACTAAATATCAGAAAGGCCCTTGGCAGTAAAGTTTTCCCATCTCTGTTATATACTATGGCTTCTGTTCTTTGGCCTTTATCTCATGTTTTCAATAACACTTTATTGTCAAGTACACTATAGCATGAACTCCTTCCTCGTCTTACCCAGCTAGAGTTAAATTCTTCGCTTTATGCACTTCCATATGTGTTCCATTGCAGCTTTGACCAGGTTAATTCATTTGATCCAGAGCACCCCCCTGCCCATATTTTGTTTGATTGTTTTTTAGGTGAAAGTTTATATGAACGAGGTTCCCATGAACACTTTTTAATACAAATTGCTCCGTGACGTTGGTTACACTTTTCCCAGCAGCTCTCATTGTTTCTATTTTGTCTCCTCTTTCCAAGCATGTAGCCTTCTTCCCAGTCCTTGCTTTCTCCTCTTTGTTTTTGGGTAAATGTGGACTATCTGGTCTTGTGTAGTTAATTGTTTAAAGGAGATCACACTCACGGGTGATATTGTCTATATTATAATATTATATTATAATGCAATCTATTGTCTGGCTAGCATGAGTTCTGGGAGTGTTTTCTGATTTAGGTTAAATGGGTATCTTCTTGTAACAGCTCAAGGGTCCCTTTAAAGGTCTGGTCTTTTTTACGGATTTGAATTTTGTTCTACATTTTGTTCCCATGGTAACTGGGACCTTCTATTGCATCTTTGGTCACAGCTATTGGTAGCCAGGCCCCATCTAATTATTCTCGCCTCAGGTTAGAACAGGCTAAGGTTTGGGGGAACAATTAGTCCTGTGGGTTCATTTCTTCTTTGAGTTTTTGGTTTCCTACCTTCTCTTCTACTCCAGACAAGTCGAGATCAATAATTATATCTTTGATGGCTGTCTGAAAGCTTTTGAGACCCTAGTGGCACTCACCCAACTGGGGTGTAGACATGAACTTCATGAATTGTGTTATGCCAATTGACTAAGTTATCCCATAGGACTGTAATCCTGTGCCCTTCAGCCCAGTACACTAATTCCATGAGTTGTCTGGATATGTGCAGGAAGTTTCTATAACTTTATACCTTATGTGGTCTATTATATTTGTAGATATACGCAGCACACACCAATACATATTACATACACCTGTAAGTGATGCACTCACCATGTCTCCCTATGGACATGGATGCATATACTTCTACTTATGCAAGACTATACATATTTTTGGTTGTTACTATTATTGGGGGGTATGGATGTTATACATTTTCCAAAGGTGTCCCCTTTTCTTGTGTACTTCTGTCTTTGTGTACATTCATCAAGATGTGCAAGCTACCTTTATTTGGTAATGTCTTTTCCATCACCCAAAATAACAAGCATCCACTATTTAGGAAGTGATTCGCTCCTGCTTCCCCTCCCAGTCCTAATAACCATCAAAGAGCAATTCTTTCTAGATGTATGCTTATTCTGAACTCTTATCATAGTGGGCCCCTGCAGTATTTTGGTTTAACTTAGCCCACTCAACACACTGCCCTCAGGTTCCTCATTATTTATAGTTGGGTTGCTGACCTGAATTCTTTAAAAGCCGATCCATATCTTTTCATCTCTGAAATCCCTGATCCTGGGGCATTCAATTTTTCCACTCAGCCCTTCATGTAGATGCTGGTGAGTTGCTATGCAACTAAAAGTCATTCCTTAGGATCCAGGCTTGTCTGCTGTGGTAGATCACTGCAGCACTGCAGCTGTCAGGGCAGGTAGGCTGGACCATTCCTGCTCTAAAGCCACCATCACTGTTTTGTCTCAGTAGGATTATTACCAGGGGGGTTACGGCAGTGCAATGAGAAGGGTGGAGGCAGCCTCCGACACTGAGCCTTTTCCAGGTGGGTGGCCTGTCGTTCCACGGTCTGACATATGGACTGACATGCGTTCATTCAGATCGCACTTTCCAGTGGGACTCGGCTGCTGCTGCGTGAACTTTGATTGCTCTCCGGATCAGCCGGGTTGCTGTCAGTTGTACAAAACCATTAGGAGATACCATGTCCTGTCAGAATGGGGAGCATGCCTCCAGCTATGACTCCTGCCAGGTGGGAACACACTTTGGGAACATGGTCAATTGCAGATTACTTCCACTCCGTCTTCTATGTGGGGCCTCTTGGAATTTACCAGGAATAGTTTACATTTTGTCCATCTTTCTCAATGTTCACAGGAGCATAGTTTTTCATAAGAGACCTCAAGTGGGTATGGATTTTCTGACCACTTCATTGGTGTTTAAAACTGCTGTTTTAAAACTTTGGAGTTAAGTCATCTGTTTATTGCCTTCATTAAGAAAAAAATCAAGATAAAATGGGTCAATTTAATAGTATCGCAGGATTAGGTTAAAAACAGGGAAATCTTATTCAAAGGTAAGGCTTGTTGTGTTTGACTTGCTATCATTTCTTAAATGGTTACAGAAGATCATTGAGACATTTGATTCTCTCTAAAAACAAAAAAAACCAAAAAAAACATGGGAACTAAAAATTCATACTGATCCAGTTTGGCTTCTGGGGGCAAAAGAAATGATTAGGAAACTTAATTTGATATTGAAAATAAATGTATGTACTGTACATTTAGAAATATAGAATTATGTCAAGTGATCACTTGTATCATAAATATAGGGTTATATTCAATAACTTGGAATGTTACAACTGACTTTGAAAATCCTGACATATTGGAATCTCTTCTTTGAAATAGTACAACTTCATCAGAAAACTGTATGTTTTGATCACTCACAGATATTGAAGTCCTGAAAACAAGTACCAGATATGACAAGGATCAATGATTACTATGGAGATAATGAGCCAGACAGAGAAACGGCCAGCAGCACTTGGAGAAAAAGGTGAGCTTGATTAGCCTGCTTCATTAATGGGGTCAAGCAGCAGAAGGAAATAAAGGCGATTTCTAAATTACTATCGTGCAGTTTCAAAATCTTTGTGGTACATTCTCTTCCTGCAGCTCAGACAA